ACCTTTGATTGATTTCCCCCTCTTAAGAGTAGCCGTTGAATAATCTATGGTATTGTGTCGTAAGCGTTATGCAAATTTGTTTACAACGGTGCGAAAGATTGCTAGCCTAGATAATTAGCTAACAAAAAATAAATAAAAAATTTAAACTTGAAAATGAATCAGTTTCTGGAAGTTTTACCAAAGGTGGGGCATTTGTCAGACAATAAGGCGTCCAAAAATGACGGTGTAGGACATTTAAATACGATAAAAATTAAAATAACAAATATTTAAATAATTTATTACGAGGTTTAGTAGCAAAGTTTTGGGAATTTTTTCGAGAATTCAATAGACCTGGATTTTTAAAAAAAAATATTTTTTTTCAAGGTCTGAATAGACGTGGATTTTATAAAAAATCCAATTTCAAAGATTCAATAGATGTGGATTTTTTAAAAAATATTTTTTCAACCATTTAATTGACGCGGATTTTTTAAAAATATTTTTTGGAGGATTCTATAGACGTGGATTTTTTAAAAAATATTTTTTCAACCATTCAATAGACGTTGATTTTTTAAAAAATATTTTTTCAACCATTCAATAGACGTGGATTTTTTAAAAAATATTTTTTCAATGATTCAATAGACGTGGATTTTATAAAAAATATTTTTTCAAAGATTCAATAGACGTGGATTTTTTAAAAAATATTTTTTCAATCATTCAATAGACGAGGTTTATTTAAAAAATATTTTTCTAATGATTCAATAAACGTTGAATTTTTAAAAAAAAATATTTTTTCAAAGATTCAATAGACGTGGATTTTTAAAAAAAAAATTTTTTCAAAGATTCAATAGACGTGGATTTTTTAAAAAATATTTCTTCAGCCATTCAATAGAAGTGGATTTTTTAAAAAATATTTCTTCAGCCATTCAATAGAAGTGGATTTTTTAAAAATTATTTTTTCAATCATTCAATAGACGTGTTTTATTTAAAAAATATTTTTCTAACGATTCAATAAACGTTGAATTTGAAAAAAAAAAATATTTTTTTAAAGATTCAATAGACGTCGATTTTTTAAAAAATATTTTTTTAAAGATTCAATAGACGTGGATTTTTTAAGAAATATTTTTTTCAAAGTTTCAATAGACGTGGATCTTTTAAAAAATATTTTTTTAAACATTCAATAGACGTGGATCTTTTAAAAAATATTTTTTTAAACATTCAATAGACGTGGATCTTTTAAAAAATATTTTTTTAAACATTCAATAGACGTGGATTTTTTTAAAAAATATTTTTTCAAAGATTCAATAGACGTGGATTTTTTAAAAAATATTTTTTCAACCATTCAATAGACGTGGATTTTTTAAATAATATTTTTTCAAAGATACAATAGACGTAGATTTTTTAAAAAATATTTTTCCAACGATTCAATAAACTTGGATTTTTTAAAAAATATTTTTTGCAAGGTTCCAATAGGCGTCAATTTTGAAAAAAATAGTTTTTGCAAGGGTCCAATATGCGTCAATTTTTTTTAAAAAAATATTTCTTCAAGGATTCAATACATGTGGATTATTTAAATTTTTTTATACATATCTATTTTTTAATATTTTTAATAAAATGTTTTACAATATTTTATTAAAAATATTTTATAAAAATAGTTAAAAAAATATGTTTTTAAATGTATTTTTTTACAAATATTTAAAAACATTTAAAAAAATATATTTTAAGGATTCAATAGACGTGGATTTTCTAAAAAAATATTTTTTCAAGGATTTAATAGACGTGGATTTTTTAAAAAACAAATATTGTTTTCAAGGTTTCAATAGATGTGGATTTTTTAAAAAATATTTTTTCAACCATTCAATAGACATGGATTATTTAAAAAAATATATTTTTTCAAAGATTCAATAGACCTGGATTTTTTAAAAAATATATATTTTTTAGGGATTCAATAGACGTGAATTTTTTAAAAAAATATTTTTTCAATGTTTCCATAGACGTGGATTTTTTCAAAAATATTTTTTCAATGTTTCCATAGACGTGGATTTTTTAAAAAATACTTTTTTAAGGTTTCAATAGACCTGGATTTTTTAAAAAATATTTTTTTCAGGGATTCAATAGATGTGGATTTTTTAAAAAATATTTTTTTGAAGGTTTCCATAGACATGGATTTTTCAAAAAATATTTTTTTGAAAGTTTCAATAGACGTGGATTTTATAAAAAATATTTTTTCAAAGATTCAATAGACGTGGATTTTATAAAAAATATTTTTTTAAGGTTTCAATTGACGTGGATTTTTTAAAAAAAATTTTTTGAAGGTTTCAATAGACGTGGATTTTTTAAAAAATATTTTTTTGAAAGTTTCAATAGACGTGGATTTTTTAAAAAATATTTTTTTGAAAGTTTCAATAGACGTGGATTTTTTAAAAAATATTTTTTTGAAGGTTTCCATAGACATGGATTTTTCAAAAAATATTTTTTTGAAAGTTTCAATAGACGTGGATTTTATAAAAAAATTTTTTCAAAGATTCAATAGACGTGGATTTTATAAAAAATATTTTTTCAAAGATTCAATAGACGTGGATTTTATAAAAAATATTTTTTCAAAGATTCAATAGACGTGGATTTTATAAAAAATATTTTTTCAAAGATTCAATAGACGTGGATTTTTAAAAAATATTTTTTCAAAGATTCAATAGACGTGGATTTTTAAAAAATATTTTTTCAAAGATTCAATAGACGTGGATTTTTAAAAATTATTTTTTCAACCATTTAATAGAAGTGGATTTTTTAAAAAATATTTTTTCCAAGATTCAATAGACGTGGATTTAAAAAAAAAATATTTTTTCAAGGATTTAATAGACGTGGATTCTCTTTACATATTTTTTCAAGGATTCAATAGACGTGGATTTTTTAAAAAATATTTTTTCAACTCTTCATTAGACGTGGATTTTTTAAAAATTATTTTTTCAAAGATTTAATAGACGTGGATTTTTTTAAAAATATTTTTTTTCAAAGATTTAGTAGACGTGGATTTTTTTTAGAATTATTTTTTTTCAAAGATTCAATAGACGTGGATTTTTTAAAAAAAAATATTTTATCAAAGATTCAGTAGATGTGGATTTTTTAAAAAATATTTTTATCAAAGATTCAATAGACGTGGATTTTTTAAAAAATATTTTTTAAGGATTCAATAGACGTGGATTTTTTAAAAAAATATTTTTGCAACCATTCAATAGACGTGGATTTTTTAAAAAATATTTTTTCAAAGATTCAATAGACGTGGATTTTTTAAAAAATATTTTTGCAACCATTCAATAGACGTGGATTTTTTAAAAAATATTTTTTCAAAGTCAATAGACGTGGATTTTTTAAAAAATATTTTTTCAAAGATTCAATTGATGTATATTTAAAAAAATATATTTTTTCAAGTGTTCCATAGACGTGGATTTAAAAAAAAATATTTTTACAAGTGTTCCATAGACGTGGATTTTTTAAAAAATATTTTTACAAGTGTTTCATAGACCTGGATTTTTTAAAAAATATTTTTTTAAATATTCAATAGACGTGGATTTTTTAAAAAATATTTTTACAAGTGTTTCATAGACCTGGATTTTTTAAAAAATATTTTTTTAAATATTCAATAGACGTGGATTTTTTAAAAAATATTTTTTCAAAGATTCAATAGACGTGGATTTTTTAAAAAATATTTTTTCAAAGATTCAATAGACGTGGATTTTTTAAAAAATATTTTTTCAAAGATTCAATAGACGTGGATTTTTCAAAAAATATTTTTTCAAAGATTCAATAGACGTGGATTTTTTAAAAAATATTTTTTCAAAGATTCATTAGACGTGGATTTTTTTTAAAATATATTTTTTTAAAGATTCATTAGACGTGGATTTTTTAAAAAATATTTTTTCAACCATTCAATAGACGTGGATTTTTTAAAAAATATTTTTTCAACCATTCAATAGACGTGGATTTTTTAAAAAATATTTTTTCAACCATTCAATAGACGTGGATTTTTTAAAAAATATTTTTTCAAAAAATTCAGTAGACGTGGATTTTTTTAAAAAATATTTTTTAAACCATTCAATAGACGTGGATTTTTTAAAAAATATTTTTTCAACCATTCAATAGACGTGGCTTTTTTAAAAAAAATATTTTTTCAAGGACTTAATAGACTTGGATTTTTTAAAAAATTTCAATAGACGTGGATTTTTTAAAAAATATTTTTTCAACCATTCAATAGACGTGGATTTTTTAAAAAATATTTTTTCAACCATTCAATATACGTGGATTTTTTAAAAAATATTTTTTCAAAAATTCAGTAGACGTGGATTTTTTTAAAAAATATTTTTTAAACCATTCAATAGACGTGGATTTTTTAAAAAATATTTTTTCAACCATTCAATAGACGTGGATTTTTTAAAAAATATTTTTTTCAACCATTCAATAGACGTGGATTTTTTAAAAAATATTTTTTCAAAAATTCAGTAGACGTGGATTTTTTTAAAAAATATTTTTTAAACCATTCAATAGACGTGGATTTTTTAAAAAATATTTTTTAAACCATTCAATAGACGTGGATTTTTTAAAAAATATTTTTTCAACCATTCAATAGACGTGGATTTTTTAAAAAATATTTTTTAAACCATTCAATAGACGTGGATTTTTTAAAAAATATTTTTTCAACCATTCAATAGACGTGGCTTTTTTAAAAAAAATATTTTTTCAAGGACTTAATAGACTTGGATATTTTAAAAAATTTCAATAGACGTGGATTTTTTAAAAAATATATATTTTTTCAAGGATTCGATAGAGTTGGATTTTTTAAAAGCTATTTTTCCAAAGTTTGAACACGCGTGGATTTTTTAAAAAATATTTTTTCAAGGATTCAATAGATATGGATTTTTAAAAAATATTTTTATAAAAATAATTTCATTAAAAATATTAAAAAAAAAATTACCGAAAAATAATGATTTCATTTCAAAATTTGTTCTCTTTTCGTTTGGCCTTTCCAGAACCCAACCGCAAAATACCGCCTGTCAGGCCATGAAGGACAAACGGTGTTGCTGGACACGTGGCAAAGTTTTGGGTGGCAGTTCTGTGTTGAACACCATGTTGTATATTCGCGGAAATCGTCGCGACTTCGATCAATGGGCATCGTTTGGTAATCCTGGCTGGAGTTATGAGGATATTTTACCCTACTTCCGTAAATCTGAAGACCAAAGGAATCCCTATCTGGCCAAGAACAAGAGATACCATGGAACGGGTGAGTGGAGATTTAAGAAAATTTTGAATCGAAAAATTAAAATATCCAAATTTTTAGGTGGCCTTTGGACGGTCCAGGACTCACCCTACAACACTCCGCTGGGTCCGGCATTTTTGCAGGCCGGCGAAGAAATGGGCTATGACATTGTGGATGTAAATGGCGAACAACAAACCGGTTTCGGTTTCTATCAATTCAATATGCGTAGAGGTTCAAGAGCCTCGGCGGCCAAATGTTTCCTAAGACCGGCCCGCCTGAGAAAAAATCTACATGTGGCCCTGTTTTCTCATACCACCAAAATTTTGACCCATCCCGAAACGAAGAGAGCCACCGGGGTGCAATTTATACGCAATGGCAAGTTGCAGACAGCCTATGCCACCAGGGAGGTCATTTTGTCGGCTGGAGCAATAGGGTCACCCCATTTGATGATGTTATCGGGCATTGGGCCGGCAGAGGAATTGCAAAGGGTTGGTCTGCCCTTGGTCCACCACTTGCCAGGTGTGGGACAAAATCTCCAGGATCACATTGCTGTGGGTGGCATAGCCTTCTTGATTGACTATCCCATTTCGGTGGTCATGAATCGCATGGTGAACATAAATACGGCCCTGCGTTATGCCATCACGGAGGATGGTCCGCTTACCTCCAGTGTGGGCCTGGAGGCCGTGGCCTTTATCAATACCAAATATGCCAATGCCAGTGATGACTGGCCGGACATTAGTTTTATGATGACCTCAGCCTCGGTCATGTCGGATGGTGGCAGCCAAGTGAAGGAGGCTCATGGTCTAACTCAGGAATTCTATGACTATATGTATGGGGAGGTAAGCAATCGTGATGTGTTCGGGGTCTTTCCCATGATGTTGAGGCCCAAGAGTAGAGGTTTCATAAAATTGGCCTCCAAGAACCCGTTGCGTTATCCCCTGCTCTATCACAATTATTTGACCCATCCGGATGATGTGAATGTGATGCGAGAGGGTGTCAAGGCCGCCGTGGCCATGGGTGAAACCAAAGCCATGAAAAGATTTGGCGCGCGATTCTGGTCAAAACAGCTGCCGAACTGTAAACACTTGCCCCACTACACCGATGAGTATTGGAACTGCGCCATACGTCAATATACCATGACCATTTATCATATGTCCGGTACAGCTAAGATGGGACCACCCACTGATCCCTGGGCAGTGGTGGATCCTCAGCTGAGGGTGTACGGGGTGCCAGGTTTGCGGGTAATTGATGCCAGTATTATGCCTACCATCACCAATGGCAATATCCATGCCCCTGTCATTATGATTGCCGAAAAGGGGGCGGATATGATCAAGGAGCTGTGGCTAACGCCCTCGGAGTATAGAAAAAAGAGGCAACTCGAGGAGCCGTTGGAGTTGCACAATGTAACGGAGACCTTGCAGCAGGAGGAGCGGGGGACAACGTTCAGTAATTTAAATGGCAACTCATAGCGGATTTAAATTTTTTTTTGAAATAAAATTAAGAAAAAAAAAAAACAAAATTAAAAAAGTAGGGCAAATTTCTACTAAAATTTTTTTTAAATTTTTTAATTTAAATTATTTACCAAATTGTTGTCTAGCCTCTTTAGAAAATAGTGAACCAATAAAAAAAAAAAATATGTTGACCAGTGCTTACCTTGCTAGTTATTTAAGCGTATTTTCTAGATTTTTGAATTTTTGTTTTTATATATGAATTTTTTGTTATAATTATTATTTTTTTATTTATAGTTTTAGTATATGTATATACGCACCATTGTATATATAAACATTGAGTCAATTACAAAAGTCTGTTTTAAGTAATTTTTAAGACGTATTTTTTTTAATAAAAAAAAAATAAATATTTAAAAAAAAATATTTTTTGATGGGGTTTTACTATTTTTAAATTAAAAATAAGGAAAATATGAAAGGAAAAATTCTTAAAAACTTTTAAGATTTAAAAATGTTATTTTAGGGACTTAAAAAAAATATAAAAAAATTTGAAAGTTAAAAAAAAATTATTTTCATTACCTATTTTTTAATATAAATATTTTATTTTATAAAAATATTAAAAAAAAAATCACAAGCCAGAATTATACTCGATTCAAAAAATTATAAAAAACCAGCAAAAAAGCAGCTAAGTTCGGCCGGACCGAACATTTAATACCCTCCACCATTTTGAAGGAACATGAAAATTTTCTAAAAAAAAAAAAAAAAATCCGTTGAAAATACCTCTAAAATGAAACCACATATATGGGGGGCTATAGGAAGACGTGGACCTGCATAACTAATTTTTTGTCATAGGCTGTAGCACTCATTACACACTTCGAATACAAATTTTGAAACAATTCGGGTGAATAATGTCGCTAAAATCATCAAAATACCGGATAAAGGGGGGTATCGTTATATGGGGGCTATACGAAGACGTGGACCTACATACCAAATCTTTTGGCAGAAGCTGTAGTACCCATAAAGATTATTAAATGTGAAATTTGAAAAAATTGCGGCGAATAATGTCGATAAAATCATCAAAATACCGAATATCGGGAGGTATCGTTACAGGGGGGTAATACGAAGACGTGGGCCTACATACGAAATCTTTTGGCAGAGCCTGTAGTACCCATTACGAACTTCAAATACGAAATTTGAAACTATTCCTGCAAATAATGTCGAGAAAATACTGAATATCGGAGGTACCGTTATATGAGTACAATAGGAAGACATGGACCTGCATAAATAATTTTTTGTCATAGGCTATAGTACCCATTACGAACTTTAAATATGAAATTTAAAATAATTCCATGTTGGTAAAATCATGAAAATACCGAATATTGAGAGGTACTGTTATATGAGGGCGATACGAAGACGTGGACCTGCATACGAAATTTTGCATAGACAATTTTTTTGTCATGGGCTGTAGTACCCATTACAAACTTCAAATACGAAATTTGAAATAATTCCGGTACATAATGTCGCTAAAATCATAAAAATACCGAATATTGGAGGTATCGTTTCATGGGGCCTATACGAAGAGGTGGACCTGCATAGGCAATTTTTTGTCATAGGCTGTAGTACGTATTACAAACTTCGAATACGAAATTTGAAACAATTGCGGCGGATAATGCCGCTAAAATCATCAAAATACCGAATATCGGGAGGTATCGTTACATGGGGGCCATACGAAGACATGGACCAATACAGACAATTGTCTTCCAGGGTGTAAAGTACTTACAAAGAACTCATTGGTTAGAATTTCAGACAATTTCATTGAAAAGTTTGCCTGAAATCATGAAAATGCCGACTATCGAGGGGTACCGTTATATGGGGGCCATACGATATCGTGGACCGATTTAGCCCATCTTTGAACTTGACATGCCTGCAGACAAAAGACTGATTTGTGCAAAATTTTAGCTTCATATCTTTATTCGTTTTGACTCTAGCCTGATTACAACCGATAGACGGACATCGCTATGGAATTTTATGCTGATCCAAAATATTTATACTTTGTAGGGTATGTCATGAGTATTTCGAGGAGTTATAAACGGAATGACTAGATTAATATACCCTCCATAGTATGGTAGAAGCGTCTAAATATATAGGATTTTAACATTATTTTCAATGGGCCTAAAAGTATGCCTCAAAATTTTGAATTAAAAGTTTGTCAATAGAACAGTGTTGGCTTGTTTGTTTGGGATACCATAGTATTTTGTTGTTGCAAAATGGTCAGGCTTTATCCCGTTATTGTTGTTTTTATAAAAACAACGTTTGTTTATTAGTGGAGATCGATGGTAATGTTTACCAGGGGGTAAGGCAGGGAATACCTAGGTTTCGGAAAGATCCACCAATCCTCATGAGTTCCCTTGTTTCTTGTCTGGGATATTCTCCTCAGAAGTTTTTTTTTTTTAAATGACTTCTATGACAAAAAACCTTTTTTTTTACCCAAGTATCGAGATCGTAAGCTCAATTGAAGATGAACCAAATAATTAAATAGAACTAAAATTCTTTTGGAAAATCTTCTAAATCTTACAACCGCACTTATATTTCAAAAATTGTTTTTATAATAAATAAAAATAAATTATTTTCTAGGAATTTGATAAAAGATATAAAAAAAATCACAAGCCAGAATTACCTTCGTTTTAGAGACTAATCACAAAAAAGAAAGAAATGTCTAGACATATATGATTAAAAAAATATGAGCCTTAAAGTATACTTTAAAACTCTTACAAATTTTGCTAATTTTTTTAAAATCGCCCTTACATTAATAAAAATTATTTGTTTTTTTTTTTTTTTTTTTAATGAGTTCTAGAAAAGACTTAAAAACTGCAAGCCAAAATTACCTTAATTATAAAATATTAACACAAAAAGGTAGCAAAGGAAAAGATTATTACTTTTTATGAACCTAAAATTGTGCTTTAATTTTTTTTCTGAAAAATATGCAAATTGATTGTTTTTTTAATTTCCAAAATATTTTTGGTTTGTTTTTTATTTTTTAATATTCTTATGAAGAAATTTGGGAAAACAATTATAATAATAGGCCAATTAGAAAAGTAGATCATACCAAAAAAAAAAAAAAAAAAAAAAAGAAATAGAAGCCAGCTGTACCCCTCAGAATTTCTAATAAAAAAAGAGAACATAAAACAAGTTTGTAAAAACATTTTTGCCAATTTTTATTTTTTTATATTTTAAATTAATTAATATTTTGTTTTTTAGGTATCCTAGCAAAGATTTATCAAAAAAAAAAAAAAAATAATAAAATAAAATAAATTAAAAATAAATAAATAAAAATCTACGCCAGAACTAACTTTGTTTTATAGAATAATATTAGTAAATAAGTTAGAAATGCCCAGACAAGTAGGATTTAAATATTATTTGATAAGCTTTGAAGTATGCTTTAAAATGTCTTTTTAAAATTTGCCGATTCTTGTTATTTATAAATTTAAAAAAATATTTTGTTTTTTGTTTTTGATATTTTTCTTTTTTTTTGTATATTCAACAAAAATTAATTCAAATTTTTTCAAATGAAAAAAAGAAATTCAAAGCTCTCTACAAAAATTGGCGATTTCTATTTTTTTTTTTTTAAATATGTGGTTGAGAATTTTCTATTATTAGAAATTGAATAAAATTATTGAAAATTCATCTTCAACTATTTATTTTCACAAAATGTTTTTTATATAGGTATATAAATTTTTATAATATGTGTTCGAAACGGAACCCATTTTTTAATTTTTATATCAACGAATCAACCTGTGTTCTACAAATTAATGTTGTGTATCACCCTGTCTCTTAGCCGAGACACTTACCAGTCATAAAGCCAGTCTCCAATATTAACCTCTGTCGTTGTTCAAACTTAGCAAAAAGCTTACCTGCAAGGAAACAAAATATAGATAAATTAGATCTCAATTTTTACAATAGATGGCGCATGAAAATATTTTAAAACTATATTGCAATTATTTCGAGATAAAATTCCTGCATGGGCTGAAGAGTTTTTTTTTCAAGATAAGAAAGTATTTCAGATTCTGGGAATTTCTAAAGAATTTTTCTAAACTAAAAAAAAAACTCACCAAAGGTCAAGAAACCCTGTTTTCAATATTAACTAATTAACTAACTAACCGTTGAAGAGTATTCTTTTTAATAAGAATGAATGAATCCAATCCGATTTTTTTCCTATAAAAAAAACCCGATACTGAGGTCGATTTTTTTATATTTTTTATTTTTTATATTTTTTAATAGAAAAAATTCTCATTTTTTTCTATGGCCAAAAATTTTCCAGAACTTAGGTCGATTTTTTTTTCTGTGAAAAAAACTCTCCAGAAATGAGGTCGAATTTTTTTCTATGGAAAAAAACTCTCCAGAACTGAGGTCGAATTTTTTTCTATAGAAAAAAACTCTCCAGAACTGAGGTCGAATTTTTTTCTGTGGAAAAAAACTCTCCAGAACTGAGGCCGAATTTTGTTCTATGGAAAAAAAAAACTCTCCAGAACTGAGGTCGAATTTTGTTCTACGGAAAAATCCTCCGATACTGAGATCGAATTTTTTTCTATGGAAAAAAATCCTCCGATACTGAGATCGAATTTTTTTCCCTCCAGAACTAAGGTCGAATTTTTTTCTATGGAAAAAAACTCTCCAGAACTAAGGTCGAATTTTTTTCTATGGAAAAAAATACTCCAGAACTGAGGTCGAATTTTTTTCTATGGAAAAAAATACTCCAGAACTGAGGTCGAATTTTTTTCTATGGAAAAAAATACTCCAGAACTGAGGTCGAATTTTTTCCTGTGGAAAAAAATTTCTCCAAAACTGAGGTCGAATTTTTTTCTGTGGAAAAAAATTCTCCAGAACTGAGGTCGATTTTTTTTCTGTGGAAAAAAATTCTCCAGAACTGAGGTCGATTTTTTTTCTGTGGAAAAAATTCTCCAGAACTGAGGTCGAATTTTTTTCTATGGAAAAAAATTCTCCAGAACTGAGATCGAATTATTTTC